TGCCTATTTCTCGTTGTTCGCTTTGTGTTGCCGCAGTATTCGCCACAATATACCTGCGCTGGCACTTATGGCAACTCTAGAACATTCTGAAGTTTATCGCTCATTCTCTTTCTCTCGCTGTTCGCAGTGTTCATCCAACTTGACGTTTCTCTTTGTGGAACATTCTACGTCATTCTTCGAACATTCTGCCTATTTCTCGTTGTTCGCTTTGTGTTGCCGCAGTATTCGCCACATTACAGATTAGTGTGTTAAGCTCGAAAATGAGGATAATCTACTTATATGTGAACCTAATATTAGGGTGATTCAAAATTGGATCTTTTTTGAATTTCGACTGAGAACGTTCGAATTCTTGAAGATAAGAGAGAAGACAAGTTCCTTCAGCTTATTTGAACAAGATTTAGACGTCGCTCAACGCTGTTGGTTGTTTTCCGGAAACTACAGATTTTAGATGCATCTTTTTATAACAAATAGGTATATTTTCATCAAATCTTGTCGGATTTCGTTGAAATTTCGTAGGTAGGTTCCAAAATATTAGCTTATTGGAACTCAGTTTATATAAGTTCGATAAATTAGTCTTAAACACATTTATTAATTAGTTAGTACCTAAGTTTTGCCTTATAAAAAATTAATATTTGCATTATTATTTTTTTGTTCCTTAGCCACTGAGCGTATGCTTAATACACCTAAGATCACATTGTAATTCATATAATTAGTGGACCTCATCAATTAATATTATTGCACATCAAATAAAAAAATCGCCAGATAAATATCACCATGCCATGCTTAATCCAAGTATTTTTCTAGTCATTGCAAATATTTATAGTATAATAATAATATTTTGGCGCCAAGTGTTTGGCCAAGCTTCTCCTTCAATTTGTGGTGCGTGTCTTCATGTTGTCACAAAAAGGCGGGGAGAAGCTTTTTCAAGGCAGAAATACACACGAAGGCAGTGTTGAGCGTTAATCAATTACTTTTTCAATCATTTTGTTAATTTATTAATAAAGTAATTGCAGTTACATTAGTTGCAATTAAAATTTTAATTACGCATTGCAAATAAATTAATTGCAATTAAACATTTAGTTGGGTATTGTACACGGCAAATAATTTATTTATACTTTTTTGATAACAATTAGCCTACTGATACTGGATTTCCATTAGGCATTAAATGACAAATGACAAAGTTGGGCGTTAAAAAATTATCGTGCTTTTATGTCATTAAGTTCATTTTCACATGGTTTAAATATCATGCATTTTTTTCCATTTCAAAGCCTAGTGGAAATTCGGCATTATAAATAAAAAGAAAAATACGGCACA